TTCTCTATTAAATCGTTATTTTTCCTATTTTAAAATTTTGTTTTCTAATCCTCCCCTCATGGAAGGATAAAATTATCAAATTTGTAATAAGTTCAAAAAAATTATTCATTTTTTAATAAAAAAATGCATGCTTTAAATAATAAACAATTATTTGAAGTTTTGTTAAACAATGTCTACAGAACACATGTTAACAAAATATTAAAAAAATAAAAAATTACAATAATAATCTATGTACTTTGGTTCTTGTGTTATTTTGATCCCTATAATTTTAATTAACACAATTTTGATCCTGAATTTATAATTTTATCTTAATTTAGTCTAATTGATAATAACTTTTAATATTTTTTATGAAAAATATGTATATATGTGACATGTGTCATATTCTTAAAGGAAAAATTATAAATTTACTTAACTCAATGAGTTCAACTCAATCAATTCAACGATCATTTTTTGTAAAAAAAACACTAACAATATTATCAATTAGATCAAATTGACATAAAATATAAAATCAACAGTCAAAATTAAATTAATTAAAAGTGTAGAGAGTAAAATTACACAATAAACAAAATATAAGTACTACCAGCATAATTTTTTCTTAAAAATATATAATTTACTTAGGGGTAATATTATTTATCGCAAGAACATAATTAGGGCATTATTACAGTTCTTCACTTCTGTCACTCCACTTTGGAAGTGTTGTGTTATTAAAAAGCGTTTTGAGGCCCATCCTAGGCACTACTCCCAATATCTGAATTATTCAATTCGTTGAATTATGTATGTAAATTATTTACCAAAAAAATAAATTAATTTGATAATTATAATAACAAATTTTCATAATATTTGTCTCAAAAAATAGACAATAATGATATTTTTAAAAATATATCATCAATTTTTTAAAAACAAATTTAACAAAATCATAAATTATGATTATTAAATCAATCTACACACAAATAAGCGAACAAAATAACATGCTCAAATCATTAAAATGAAGTAGATGGTGAGCCCTTGCCTTACAACGCTTAACAGCCCCTCAAATCCACTTTGTGAAGAACATCCTTTTTTCGGGTGTAATTAATATGTAATATTATGCTGAAAATAAATTATTAATTAAAAAATATATACAAGTCTTCTTTTTAGAGCTAATAATATATAAAAAATATAATTAATTTTAAACTAAAATAGCAATGCCGTTATTAATGAATAATGTTTTAGAGCACTAAATTGGGAGCTCTAGAGCATCACTAATGATGTGGCACAGTGGTCCCCACCAAAGTGATGTGATGTTTTGGCTTGAGTTTGTTTTTTTTTTTTAAGCTCATTAGAGCTATTAGTGGTCCAAAAATTAGTGGGATGAATCACCACTCCGTTATTAATACGGTACATAACTAATGAGGGATGATAAAGAGCACTAGAGTTGAAACTCTAATACTAACTCTAATGATGTGGCAATCTATAAAAGATAAATAAATAAATAAATAAACAAAATACAACATCACAAGTCAAAATATCGAATCATAAAGTGAAACCCACCTCTAGAGCTCCTCATTTAGAAGTCTCAAAAATAATTGCATAACTAATATAAGAAAACCCAAATAAGTGGAACGCAGTAACGTTTTGAAAAGTTGTTTAAAAGATAATTTTTTTTTGACTATTTTATATTTTTGTGAATAAAAAACATAAAAAATGATGTGAGTTAAAAACCTAGCTGGCCAAAAGACTGCACAGGAAATAATACCATATACAAGTGAGAAATTCAAATTACTGACAACTTCAGAGTTGTAAAGATTCTATTTGGTTGAATTTTTAATTTTTTTTAAACTAAAAATTATCTTATTAACAAAAAAAAAAAAAATAAACCCAAAAAAAAAAAAAAAAAAACACATAAATGAATAGATCTCATAGGCATTTATTGATGTGAATAGAGATGGCAATTTAAATCCGGTCCAACGGAAACCTGACTTCCCGACCTCGAATTGAGCAATTTTTTTTCCAAAAATACTCCCAATAAGTCGGGAATGGTATTCAAAAATAAATTCCTGATGATATTCGGACTGGGGATGAGGATACATTTTCCAATCCCGAACCTGGCCCGCCCCGTTTAGCCCCCAATCCTATTTATATATATATATATGTGTGTGTGTGTGTGTTGTACGTTTAGGGTATGGTTAACATACAACACAAATAGAACATATGGCCTCTCTCTCTCTCTCTCTCACACACACATGACCGCCGCTCCTTCCTCACCGCCGCTCTCCCTCACCGCCGATTTTCAAAGGATCCTCTCTCTCTCTCTCTCTCTCTCTCCCTCCTTACCAATTTGGTCAGCAGCGATTCGTCCTCTCTTTTTCACCGGCGTCATTTCTCCCTCACGACATCACAACGGCAGCTCTCTCTCTCTCTCACTAGCGATGGCTCCTCCTCTCCCGCTCACGATATCTCTTTGTCTCTCACGGTATCTCCTCTCTAGTTACTCTCTCTCTCTCTGTCTCTCTCTTTGTTTTTTGGTTTGTTCTTCAGATCTGGAAAATGATGAAGATAAAAATGTTGATGAAGATCTATTGTTGATGAAAATGATTATGTTTTTGATTTGTTAGATCTGTTAGAGCTCAGATGTTGTTTGATTTGATAGATGTTTTTTGAGCTCAGATCAGTTGTAAATGTTGTTGTTGTTATTGTTGATGATGTTTCTAAAATTGGTTTTTTTTTTTTTTTTTGGCCGGGGAATTTTCGAGGTCGGGGAAACCCGATCCCCGTTGGGGGCGGGAACGAGGGTGGTGATAGATTCCCCGTCGAGGATGGGGGCCGGGGACGAAAAAATTTTCACCATCAGAGACGGGGAGTGTAATCCCCGACCCCGCCCCGTTGTCATTCTTAGATGTGAATCCTTATTCCTGTGTTCAAGAATGAGAAAATAAAATATCAAATAAGATTTTGTATAACATGGCTCACATAAGAGCAACTCCAACAGTGGCGCTGTTTGGGAAGCACAAAATAAGGCTATTATAGCCTATTTTGACAAATTAACCTAAAAGCAACACTGTTGCAACCCTTTTCAAAAAAAAAAAAAAATTCTGCACAGCCGGCAGTGTAGGGGCTGTGCCTACACTGTCAGCTACAACCCTTGTCCCATCAATAAATAAATTACCATTTTACCCCTTGATATCAATTTAAAAAAATATATTTTTAAGAATAAATTTGTCATTTTAAATTTAAACATCATTTCTACACACTTTTCAATACAATAATTCAACTAAAAAATCATCTCATCTCCCAAACACAAAAATTAAAATAGCCACTAAAATAACCAAATAACTTACTAAAATAGCCACTTTTCAAACGAGGCCAGTATTGGAACTGCCATTACTATAATATAGCAGGTGTGGAAATTTTGCAAACTCTAACGAGCTGCTATTGATGCTACTAGAATAACAACAGCTATCTCTTGTTCATCTATGACTAGAGAACATTTTGCAAACCTATCAATCGCTCAAATTGCCATCCCATCAGTAGACTAGTTGATGTTAATCCTATGTTGGTTAAGCTAAAAATAACAATTTCACCGTTAAAACAACAATTATGCTTTTGAACTATTCATTACTAAGCCTCCGTTTGGGAAGTGGGTTGACTTTTTGACTTTTTAATTTTTTTTGCTATTTTAGCCTGGGCTTAAAAACTTGGTTTGGGAAGAACTTTTTAACTTTTTGGCTTTTTTGAGTTTTTTTGTGAGAGAAGAATGTAATGATTATGGGTTGGATATGATGTTTTGTTTGTTATGACTAAAATAGCCTATTTTGTTTTTTGTGGCTAAAATAACCAAAAAAAGCCCAAACCATGGCTTCCCAAACGAAGCCTAAATTATAATTTTAACTATTGATTTTTTTTTGCTGTTGAAGTAAGTTTTAAGGACAATTTATGAAAACCATCAAAAAAAAAAAAAAAAAAAAAGTTACTTGCAGTAATCAAAAACTTGCATTACAATTCTTTTCAAATCTCTACGTGCCTAGAAAAGTAATTAAAGCACGCCTACTATATATTTATGGGGGAATTATATGTGAAAAAAATTTACACACAAATATAAAAGGGTGCAAGCATCACAACACCACTTACACCCTACATATCTTTGTAATCTTTTATTTTATTTTATTTTATTATTTTTATTTATTTATTTATTTTTTGTCTACCCACTGCGGTTAAATTTCTCCTATATTTATACCACATTTTATTTGGGAAAAATTACAAATATCAAAAATAATTAAAAATGAGGTGCAACTTTTTTTGTGTGAAGAAACCAGATCGAATTGTACAAACCCCAAATTGTCTAATACACATTCTATTTACGCTATTTACACTGTGTTTGGTTGAGAGATTTAAAAAAAAATTAGAAAAAAGTATGTAAAATTAAATAAAATATAAATATATTTTATTCATATTTCACCTACATTTTCTATTTCCCTTTCCAAATCCCTCCTCAAATCCCTCAATCAAACACAACATTAAAAAAAAATACAAATACCAAAAATAATTACAAATGGGGTGCAAACTTTTTTTGTGTGAAGAAACTACATCAAATTGTCCAAACCCAAATTGTCTAACACAATCCAATCAAAACAGTACGAGTGCAGCAAAAATATTCACAAGAAACAGCCAGGCAGACGGCTTCACCATTTAAGCCATCCGAGTGCACCCAAAATGCTTCTGTTGCTATACCCAAAAGCCGTGTGGGGATGACAACAACTACAACAAACCTAAAGATGACCCCAAGGAAAAAGTGAATAGACTTCCAACACACAAAATTCCCTGTGATAAAAACAAAAGACGCACACCCACATGCCTACACAATTATCGGCGATGCTACATGCATCAATTAATGTACTAACTAATGTACCAACTAATTATTATTAATCTCACATATTATACAAATTACAAATACCCAAAACCTCTAAAATTATGCCATATCATGTGTTATCATCTGTTAGTATACTAATTAATACATTAACTAATACATATAGCATTATTCTTCTTAATAATCACTAGATTGTAAGGTTATATACCTTCAATAATTGATATTAATTTTGCATTGAGTTTTCTTTTGATTCCAGTGAAGTACTGGAAACAAAACAGCAAAAATTCCAACTTCCCATGTACACACAAATTCATTAACACAAATTCATAAAGATATGTGTCTACCCAATACTCCCACAGATGTTCCTGTCCACACCCACAAGATAGCACACAAAACTCCAATAACAGCAAAAATGTAATATCGTCTGTTATACCAACTACTGCTGGACCTTCTCAGTGTTGCAGTGGGGTTACCTGAGGCCAAACTTGTGTCTCCAGCATTTACTTTTACTTTGCCACCAATCCTACCGAAGCTAGACATTCGTTCAAAAGCCCTATTCACCAGGGCAGTATTCTCTGAAGCTGATGCAGGAGTGGCTGGTATAGACTCCACGTAGGCCCATAAAGAAGCTAACCACGTGCTTCCACCTTCATCCTCTTTGACAATTTGATTTTGGTTTTGATTTTGATTTACTCCAGCGGGAAAATTTGCAGAACTAACATCATACATTACACCTAAAATGACCAGAAACTGCCAACATTAGCAACAGCGCAGACCACACTATATGTTAGCGAAAGAGCTCTTGAAGCTGGCTCAAACTCCCCCTTTTCCAATGGGGCACAAGAGTTCTTGCCATGTAGATGATGACATGGTCTAGCAAAACCATCCATCTGATCAAGAGCTCTGAGAGGTTAGCCAACATAGAAAGCATATTTGTAAAAATGAAAGATGTAGAAGTAAATCACAGCCAAGCTGGTAGCCAAGTACATGTGTAGTCGATGACATTTTCAGTAATCTGTATACCTGAGGTAGGTGGAGGAATGGCCTCCTGATTGGATTCTGTTGGAGTAACAATATTGTGATTCCACATCTGATTGCTGATCTGACTTGCATCATTGGGATCGTGTTGCAGCTGAAAATCCAACTGGTTAGCCATGTCAAGATTGTTACAAAATAAATGTGAATTCGGGTGCATCATTTCTGTCCCAAGGTTGTTTAAGTACAAGTGTGAAGCTGGGTTCACTCCTTCATTCTCGAGGTTGTTCAAACATGGATTCGAAACTGGGTGTACCATCTCATTCCCCATATTGTCGAAATACGAATGAGAAACTGGTCCCAGATTCATAGGACACGCGTCCCGAATAAACATGACTGCATCCTGGTACAAATCCAGCTCACACAACCCATCAAGCTCGTCAAACTGCACGGCAACAGGTTGAATTGTAGGTTCTGGCCCAGTGAGATCATCCATTTCAAGAAAATCATCCTGGAAATCCTCCTCAGTGTCATGCGGTTCATGTCTATGAATGTTTGGAGCAGATGTAACCTCAGATGTCTCGTGAAGTAGCAAGTGCGAGGTGGCCGTCTGAGTCAGGTCAAAGCCAGGCTGCACATCATTTTTCTCCCCGCATGTGTGGAGTGACATGCTCCTTTCATTCAAATTGGCTTCCCCAAAGGATTGATTCACCAAGGTACTTTGGGTTTCTTCCTCACCAAAAACTTCTTGCAGTACATAACCACAAAATGCAGCAAGAGGTTGGCCAGGCAGAGGCTCATCTGCAATTCGGTTCATGAACTCATCAAGGTCATTAGGTGGGGGCTGCACTTGACCATTAGTTGCGGTGTTGTCAACAGAAGCAAGGTCATTAACCTGCTTCACAGAATTTTCCTGCTGCACCACAGAATTCTCCTGGTCAGCATGGCCATTAACATCTATGTCATCATCTTCAGCCCAGTCTTCTTCTCTAAAAGGAGCCCCATATTGCTCACCGTTTTTAGGACCAGGTCCACTCTTTTTGTAGACCTTGTAGAGAGCATAATAATCCCGTGCAGATTGGCATCTCTTGAGCTCCTCCTCATCCAGAGTATACTCATGCATCACCCAATCCGTGCGTACACCACTAGGTGCACGGCCTTTGTAGAAAACCAGAGTTTTCTTCAGCCCAACTACACGAGAATTACATGTTATATTGCGGTCTTTCCCCGTTGCTTTCCAATACCCATGCCTGGTTGCCCTATTTGACCTTGCTCCATTTGGATACTTCCTGTCTCTGGGGCTAAAGAAGTACCACTGTCTGTCCCCAGTTTTCAATTTTGATATCCCTGTAAACAAAAAAAAAATTTAGTTAATCAATTGCCCAGATCATTAACGCAAAGTCAATAAATTGAAAGCAACAAAATAACGAGCTACTAAAACTTTAAACCCAATTTTATAAACTCTCATACAAGTACAATATAGAATGTGACTCAAAAAAACATCAAGATAAACAAACCATTGCCAGTTTATTCTGTACAAATCATTGAATCTCTAGACTTCCACACCAACAACCATACACCCAATGTTTCAATCAGCCAGATTAATTAGCTAAACAATAATTCAATTTCCAAAGAATCAGCATCAGTGTATAGGAAGACAAATAGGGCAGGCATCAAATCATCAGATCCAAATAAAGCACATCACATAGCAAGATAGTTTGCAAATTCATTATGTAATTCTTTTCCCTTCAATAATTCCCCCTGCATAGAACAACAGGCTGATAATTCTTCAGCACATGACACAATAAGCCACAGAAAAATGTAAAGTGGAACCAAATCAAGATTCAACAATACTAAACAACCAAACAAGAACAAATCAAGCGAACCAACCAACTGAACCCAAAAAATCAAGATTTCAACAATACTAAACAACCAAACAGGAACTAATCAACCAAACCAACCGAACCCAAATCAAGAATTCAACAATACTAAACAATCAAACAAGAACTAATGAAGCAAACACTGAACCCAAAATCAAGAATTCAACAATACTAAACAACCAAACAAGAACTAATCAACAAACCAACCAAACCCAAATCAAGAATTCAACAATACTTAAACAACCAAACAAGAACTAATCAACAAAACCAACCAACCGAACAAAACTATGGATTAAACCCAACCAAGTAAACAATATATCAAACCAAATGCAAATCAAATACCTAAATAAGACAGATCATACCAATACCAACCAAACAAAACGTTGACTTACTCCAAACGCTGAAACTCAATCAATGAACATAGCATATAACCAATAACCCTATTAATAGCAAACCCAAATGAAGAATCAATCAACTAAAACAGAAAAAGCATGCCAACAGATCAGATACATGAATAAATCGAGTAGGAAGAAATCAATATTGCAAATGAATATAGATCCATACCAGGTAACTCTTCTGGGTCCCACTTGTAGACATCGGTCTCGCCGATGATGTCGAGTTTGAGCCTTTTCCGACAGATCTTCCTCTTCAGATAGTAAAGCACGAGCTCCTCGTCCATCGGGTGGAATCGAAACCCCGGAGGCCAATTCTGTGAGTCTCCGAAACACGAAGAATCGTTTGAAACCTTCATTGCTCTTGAGAATTAAGAATCAAGATCGAATCGAGAGATTGATATCGGAGAGTTGAATTAAGAGAGAAGGGCGAGAATCGACGGAGTGATTTCTCACCCTATCGAAAAACCCTAGATCGATAGTTGAGAGGGAGGCGCGATAGAGAATAGAGAGTAGAGAGAGAGAGGGGGGGTGGACTCGGGGGAAGTGGTGTGGTCAAATAAGGCAATTAAGGAGAGAGGTGGGCGAGGCGATTGGTGCGGACGCGAAGCTTCCTGGAATTTGGGTTTAATTTTTAGGGGAAGCAAAATGTGCCACAGCAAATAGTGGTTTTTTATTAGTTAGTCAATGGAAGTTTCCACAATTATTTTTTTGTTTGTGTTTGTAGAGGAATTTTTGATATAAAAAGTATGAAAATTTGTTTAATTTATCTTTTTTTAGAAATAATTTTGAAAATTTGTTTTAAAGAGAGAGTTTTAAAAAAAGTGATTGATTTTATGTGTATGAGAGAGAGTGAGTGATTTTGAAAAGTAGATAACCAAACAAAATTTTGAGATTTTTTTTGAAAAAATTTATTTGATTTGATTACTCTTGAAAATTTATTTGTAGAGAATTTTTTTCAAAATTTTTTTTGAGAAACAAATCAAACAAGGCCTTTGGCTAGTTATGTTTTTGAAACGTAATTTTAAATTTTGATTTGTTTGTTGTGTTTAGTTAAAATTTTTAAAAATTGATTTTATATCTACTTTTAAAAATATATTTATTCAGTTATTTTTTTGGATGTCCTTTGGACATCCGGTCAGTTGATCGGAATTTTTTTTTTTTTTACACCTGTTACTTTTAGATTTTAAATAAAAAATATTTTTAGAATTTTTTTAAATATTTTTATGAGTTTTAAATAGAATTTTGGATTATATGTTTGGTTCTGAATTGTAAATTTTTGAATTAAATATCATATGTCACATTAAAAATTTCAAATTCAATTCAAAACTCATAACCAAACAAATTTTTCATACTCAAACCATAATTTCAAAACTCACAAACTTAAAATATAACTCTATTCTCAAATCATAATTCTAAAATTCTACCTGTGCGGGGAGCAAATATTCAGGTAAGCCCGCACTCCTTTCTTCCAAGCTCCGTTTCTGTCCGATCACCTGCGTGCACAACAGCAGTGAGCTACCCGGCAGTGTGTGGCCGGAAAACCCCTCCGACGATCAAGTCAGACACACACAGAGGGATAGAGATAGAGAAAGAGGACTGGGTTGAGTGTAAGTATTTTTTTTACCAAAAATGTTTTGTCCCCCAGCATGGGGGGCACAGACTTACTTATATACCTTCTGTGCCTCAAATTTACTCCCAGTGATCTCTCGACACGTGGTTCTGCTATCCCATCTGTCAACACAAATCTTGTTGAACATCACCTAACCCGACTGCCAGCCCACTCTACTGGGAGCTCGGCAGCCGGGCTGAATCTTCTCGGCTGTCGACTGCCATGCTGTGTTCCGTGCCCAATTACTCCAAGAACTAAGATCCTTTCCAGCCATGCTCGGCAGCATTCCGGCGGAGCCAACCTTCAGACTGGTCGTACCGGTCAACCAAAGGCCATCCAGCCGGGTTTCTGGCACAAGCTTCTCGACCGGGCTAACGGTGCGCGCCATCGACCGAGCAACGCAAGTTGCACGGTTATCGCCTGCGCAGATCCAAGTGGCTCGATCCATCTCTGAGCAGCCCTAACTCCGGGCAAATCCAAAATTATCGCGGCCCAACGCACCATTGGGCCTCTAATTTGCTCGGCCTCTAACTCGGCCCATAACCGGCTCATAATTCTCCCTCTCAATTGCTCCTTAATTCCGTCCGCACAAACGTGACCGGGATTACCAAATCTGACCGGGATAACATTTCCTCGGTCCTCGGTTTGCAATACGATGATCGGGCTACTTGACATGTCTATTTTCAAAACTTGCCCGGTCGATGCCTCGATTCACCATCCTGTCTCTTCAGTACTGACGCTGCCGTCAATAGGGATGCGTGTCGTGGGTTGATTGGCCTCGAGCAGCCAAACATCACGTCTGTTCAGATTCAAATTTTTTGCGGTCTTATTCATCTCTATAAACATATTGAACCTTCTTTTATTCCAACCTTACTGACTCTTTCTCCTCCTTGTCGATCCAGAGCTTCTGCCTTCGCTTGCTTGCCATTGCTGAGTTCGTCTTCGAAGAAGAAGACTTTGCCCTCTCCTGGTAAGTTCTCTGAACCCTTGTTATTACTGTTTTCGTTTCATATTTTTCTTCTTTATAGCACCAAATCCATAGGTTTAGGGCCTCCCCCACCCAAAACCTTCAATGCCCCTTAGTTTCTTCACTGTTCTTCAATTTCCCTGATGAACAATGAAGATCTGGGGCGGACCGGGCTCTAGATCTTTATTCGATCCAAAAAATACTCAGACTGTGCAAATCATTAGTTTGTCCCAACCTTAGGAGAAACCGGGATAGCAAAAAGGACTTGGGATGAAGGGTAAAGTGGGAATTTTCAAAAGCAATTATCAATTCCAATTCTTTGGCTTCTATTTGCCCCCCTTACTTCTTTGAACCCCACCCAGTAAAATGAAACCCTTTCATTTTGTTTTTGAACCCCCAACTTAATATCAACTATACTCAAAACCCCAAAACAAAACCCAAACCCAAACCTTAAGCCTAACCCCAGCTCCACCTCCATCTCCAGTTCACTCCAGACGACAGCCTCCTTCAACAGCCATCCTAGTGTTTTCCACCAGCGACCACCCTCCGATCATCTCTCACCATTGCAACTCTCTTTCACTTCTCTCTCTAATTTGGGTTCTCTCTCTCTCTCTCTATTGTCTTTGCTTCCTTACATTCCGATCAAATATGATATGATTGTTGAATGCTTTCCATG